TGGAAACTTGCTTTTGTAGCTGTTGCCTTGTAATGAAATCATACTTCGAAAAGTAGGTTGTTTTTTTAATTCTAACCAAGAATTATCAGAGTTTTGAGGAAAGTAACTGTTATCATCTTTTGCTCCTTAGAAACATTTCAAGTGAAATGTCTTTACATGCGGATTAAAATTCCTATGCGTTTATGTGGATAATTTGGGGAATTTCTAGGGTTCAAATAGTAACTTTAATTCCTACTAGATGTGTTAAAAAGTTCCTTGCTGAGGTTCTAATAAAAGTTATGTACTAAGAAGTTCAAATGGGATTATGTTTTGCAGATCAATGTCATTGTAATACTATTCTACGCTAAATTTGTCTAGTTCATGGCAAAGGCGAGAAGGATTAGTTTAAGATGCCATGGTGAAACATTCTTTAATCCAAAAATAAAACTTTGTTTCTTCTTTGTAAGCATTCAACAATACAGGCTTTATTGATACAATATAGAAAACAGTATAGTTCATTCTGGCTCTGCAGTGCATCTTTGGTCAGCAAAGAGAGTGATCTTGAATTGATTCAGGGAGTTGCCATCAGACTGTCATTATTACAAAAACTTTTAGATCTGTAAGATTCACAAAAACAAACTTATATTCAGAAACTTTTTAATTTTCAAAAAATATGTTTTTCTATGTCATTGATCATTCAACCTCATCTCTGCAGGTATGCTGATATTATAGTGCATCGGCTTTTGGCAGTGGCCATAGGAGCAGACAGTACTTACCCAGAACTGACAGATAAACATAAACTAGCAGATATGTGTAAAAATCTCAATTACCGACATAAAATGGCACAATATGCACAAAGAGCATCTGTCGCATTCCATACACAGGTAAGTAGTCCTGAGATGTTACAGGGTTAACCATGGACATTCATGTTGATTTTAAAGCGGGGGGGGAACACTGGTACTTTATAGTGCAAAACCAAGTAGATCTGCAGAAATGATCAAGGCTGAGGGATGCTTCTTTGAGGAAAAGCTTAAAGGCTTGTTCTGAAAAATTCGGAATAATGGCATCTTAAGGGGTCTTTTAGTTTTGTGTTTTTTATAAATATGGTGAATGCTTAATACTACATTAATGTTATAAATGGTTTATGGGGTTTTTTTTAATCTGTCTTCAATATATGCTGTGTAATTCTCATTAAGTATAGATTGGTATTTGAATGTTTTATTTTTCTAAGGCAGTATATCTGTAATTCAGAAGAAAATGTTCTAGTGCTTTTTTTTCTTATTTCTGTATTTTACTTTTGTTACAGTTATTCTTCAAAACCAAGGGAGTAGTAAATGAAGATGCATATATATTATTTGTAAGAAAAAATGCAATTGTGGTTCTGATCCCTAAGTATGGGTTAGAAGGAACAGTCTTCTTTGAAGAAAAAGACAAACCAACACCAAAACTGGATTACAACAATGAGGTGTGTTCTTATTATTCTTAAGGTTTGCTCTTAAATACCTTTATTTTTTTATTTGGTAATTGAGCAGAATGACTAAAGTGTATTGTAGTTGGATTTAGAAGGGTACGAGAGGTTTTTCTAAATGCAAGTTTATTAATCCATAGTAGTAGTGCTGCTATAGTATTTGTAAGTCTAAATAAACAGGTTCTGACAGTGGTTTCTGTGATACTGTTGATATCTAATTATGTATACCAGATATTATGGCACTAATTTGTGACCATTTTTATTTACATGTAAGATTGACTTTTCCTACAAAAATATTTATTTCTATAAAAACATAAGACATTGCAAGTATTTATATAAAATATGAACTTTCAGGTACCATCACTTACTGTGGAAGACACAACATTACATGTATTTGATAAAGTTAAAGTGAACATTACGTTAGATGATTCCAACATCCAACATCAGAAAATGCGGATGGTCTTGGTAGAACCGAAGGTAAGGCACAAAATTCACAGAACCATATTACCCTTCAATAATGTTACAAAATTGTCATGTGGTAAAATTGAAATTTAACCAGAAGAAAAGAAAAACAATTTAGCAGGAGCTTGTGATGATTGCTTCATATCCACTCTCGGTAGAACAGAGGTCTGCTTTCACTGGCTGTTGAAAAGAATAGAGGTGTCTAAATTAAATTTCTGTTCTGGGCCCATTGGGATATTTCCGTTGATGGGAAAGGTGATGATTTGCTGAAGTAGTATCTTGAATTTCACTGTTCTGTAATCAAATCTCTCTTTGAAAATCTGCCAAAACTCAGTATGATCTTTTTGCTCCAGTGAATTGCAGTGTGATGGGTGGCTCAGAAGTTAACTCTGTATAATTGCTGGCTGTCATGGCAGTTCTGTCCTACAACTCCCACAATATAAAAATTTTCTCTTGATAATGTTGTAAGAACTGTAATGTCTTAGTAACTGCCTCTGGCTTAAGACGTTTCAATTCCAGCTTATTAGTGCATCTGGGACACTGGGCTTTTCACTTGGTCTCACACCTTAGGCCTGTTAAGTATTTTGCAAGACATTACAAGATTGTGCACTTAAAGTTACATGTGACTTTTTTTGTAAACATATGGTTGCAGTAATTGAGTAGCCCTAATCATAGAGGAAAAAGACAACCCAAAATATGCAAGAGCTCCTTGTTGTTTATATAGTCAAACATTATTATTTCTTTTTTCCTTGAGAAATCAAATATTCTGATCTTTGAGCTCTTTTATTATCTTGAACCATAGAATGGTTTGGGTTGGAAGGGACCTTAAAGATCATCTAGTTTCAACCCCCCTGCCATGGGCAGGGACACCTTCCAACGGACCAGGTTGCTCAAAGGCCCCATCCAACCTGGCCTTGAACATCTCCAAGGATGGGAGCTTCTCTGGGAAACCTGTTCCAGTGTCTCACCACTCTCACAGTAAAGAATTTGTTCCTAATAGCTAATCTAAACCTGCCCACTTAAAACCCTTCCCACTTCTGTCACTACAAGCTCTTGTGAAAAGTCCCTCTCCAGCCTTCTTGTAGGCTCCCTTCAGGTACTGGAAGGCTGCTCAGAGGTCTACCTGGAGCCTTCTCTTCTGCAAGCTGGACAATCCCCATTCTCTCAGCCTTTCCTCATAGGAGAGGTGCTCCATCCCTCTAATCATCTTGGTTTCCCTCCTATGTATTCATTTCAACATGTCCTTCCTGTGATGGGCACCCCAGAGCTGGATGCAGTGCTCCAGATGGGGTCTCACCAGAGATGAGCAGAGAGGCAAAATCACCTCCCTTGTCTTGCTGGCCACTCTGCTTTCAATGCAGCCCAGGATACAACTGCCTTTCTGAGTTGCAAGCACACATAGCCAGCTCCTGTCCAGCCTCTCATCCACCAGCACCCCCAAGTCCTTCTTGGTAGGGCTGCTCTCCATCTGTTCATCCTCCCCAGACTGGACTGAGTTGAAACTAATCCTTGTGATTTTAAAAACTGGGAGTAGATAATGAAATTTGTAATAGAAAGGAACCGTTGTATTCTGTTGTACATCCGCTTTATGAGCTGCCCCTTGTTTGTGCTCACCAACTAAGCTCACCCACAGAGCTACTGCTAGGGGCATGACTCAGGAACATTCCTGCAGCTGTGACTCCAGTCCAAGGGACACACTTTTAAAACAGACACAAAGTAAGACTAATACAAGCTGATGGTTTGGGTTTTTTTCCCCTGTTCTTCCATTCTACTTGTACCAATTTCTGGGAAGGTCCTTACTCTACAACAAAATAAATGCTGTAATTTGAGGTTATCCCTTGATCCACGATTGGCTGTACTGGTTAATCCAAAATACTCCGTCATCCTAAATATCAGTTACTAGTCTTCCTTTCTAGTTAGAAAGGAATATAGGAATAAGATGCACACGCAGTGATCATTCCCTTTGTGTCCATCCAAAGGTTCCAGCCACTTAAATACTGTCTCACAGAGAGAAACACATCTCTGGGTCCACTCTGTAGTCTTGGTCTGTAAATTTGATCTTTTCCCAGTTCTGATTCCCACACTGTCTTGTAGCAGATGATTTTCTAAATCAAAAGGTTCTGATGTTGACGCACTGTATGTAAAAGTTTGTACAAGTAAACTCAAGTTTTACCAGGATAGAAAAAAATTGAGTCAAAAATGTTTTGACTTCTTTTTTTTTTTTCCCTTACTGTAGATACTAGGAAAGGATGTGTCTGCAAATCCATCTACAGAGGCGAGCAGTGAGAATGAACCGGAGAAAAAGAAAAAGAAGCTACAAAAATAGCTGAATATACAAGTTAACAAGAAATCACACAATTATTTGCATTTACTTATTTTTTCCCTATGGGCAAAATGCAAGAAACTAGTTTTGTTTACTTTTTAAATACGTATTTTAATAATCTGTAAAAAAATTTTTAAGCAACTTTTTTATGACTATGTATGCAGAACAGTATTTTTAAAACCAGCTATTATCTACACCTTTGTCTTGTGGGTGAAAATAAATGTTTCTGCAAAGTGAAGGAATGAATGTAGAGTTTCTTTTTAACAGCCTTAAGGCCATTTGAGAGCTTGACAGAAGTCTGTCTCTTCAGTGCATTCTCTTTAGCACCTCCAAACTAAAAGAAGTAATTGAACAACATAGGTATGAAAGAGATGTCTTTATTCTGTTCCTCTACTCAATTTACAATTAGACATGTTAAAAGACTCTCATTAAAACTACTGAAATTAATTTAATGTAAACAATGACCGTTTTGTGCAATGTGTGCCAACCAATACATTAAGAACAACTACAGAAACAGAATGGTCAAGTTATTTCCATGGTAATTTGCACAGTAGGTTTCTTCTCCAAATCTGTTGTACAAAACACAATAAAAAAATATGCATGTTTTCATAAAATAAATATTTCCCATCTAACTGAAGACTACAAAACAGGACAGAAAATACAGGCAATTTACTTGGGGGGGATCCTTAATTACTTCTCCCATTCACACACTTCTGCTGTTACTTTTCCCTAACCTTTAAGAACGTACTAATACAGGGTGAAATTAAATATTTTAATGATAGATTTTTTATTTGTGAATACTTCAAAAGCCTCCAATCATTGAACATATTATTAAAAATTCAAAAAATTTTAAAAAATATAACCCATTCCTAATTACATATATAATGCAGAACAGTTCAGAAAAAGATAATTTGCTTCTTAAATCCATTAAATTAACAGTACTATTTTTAGTAATCATAGTTGCAAAAATAAATCGTGTGTTCAGTCCAGAAATCTGAAATTCCTCCTTTCAATTGATTATTGCTAAAGAAAACTGTCATGAGAAACAGAAAAGACACAAGGTCATACATAACTTATAAACCTTAGACAAGTTATGTCCTGCTTTTGAGTGACAAAACTTACAAGCTAAAGCTAAGAACATTTTGAAGGCTCTATTTTATAAAGTTCATATACAATGAAGTATATTGCTCATTTCCTACTTTTAACAAAATCATCCCCTAAAAGTTACCAAGTCTGCGTATTTCCAGCTTTTAGTAGAGCACTGGTTGAAGATCATGAAATAGATAATTTAGGATGCTAGATTCAATTACTGTCAATCCAATATGCATTACAGAAATAGTGATTAAAGTGCTACAGAAGTAAATATAATGCACATCATGGCTGCTGGTTAGAAAACTAAAGTAAAATTTTTTATATTTATTTCTGCAGTATGAGAAGTAAAACCAAGTGCTGTGTATAGAAGCTTCCCTTTTTCTTAAGTATGTTTTTCAGAAAGCCTTCACTGGTGAATTATCAATGAAAATATTTCAAGAACTGTTCCTCAAACAACACACGCAAGTCTCAGGTCTAACATGTTGATTTTAATGCCATGCAATTCTGCTCACAGTAGGAGTTTTAAAAAATGCTGTCTTTTGCCTTCAAATTTAGGTCTGACCAATGGTTTCAGGCTTAGTGTGCCAATAGCTACTCATCAGCCACCACCTATCACTTTGGTACAAGCTTTTCTGTGGGTTGTGGAATAGAACAGAAAGCAGCCATCCAGCACCCTGGGACTGAACATACTTGCTAAGAAAGACAGACAGACTACTTCACCTGGAATACATATTAGAACGGACTTATGATTTTCATTAACCCAAAAAATTTACTTCAGAGCTCTACATAAACAGAGCTTGGAAATCTCAGTATTTCCCTTATCTCTTCTTCCCCTCTTAGTCCCTAAGGACTAGAAGATTACCACATGGATTTTTTTTTTCCCCATTCACATTTATAAATGCCACAAGGTTCTTTTAAACAAATCCAATCAAATGTAACCAAATCTGATTTGATTAGACAAAGGGAGTTCTGGGATTCTAGACCCTCCTCAATTCATTACTTTAATCGTCGATGATTTTCTTGAAAGCATCAAGGGTTTGTTTATATTAATACTTTCTGAAATAAGTGGCATGCAGAAGTTAATTATATTTTTAAGGGTTTATACAAATATTTTGGTTATTTCTGTAAGCAACATAATAATACTGAGAATTAAACATAAGAGAGAAGTAAAAGTGTAATGGTTTACTTTGATAGAAGAAAGGCCGCACCATTCTCTTAGTGATGTACTGAGACCAATTAATCTTAGTGCACCTTCTTAGGTTCCTTCCGAAGTGTACTGGAGCATCAGTTTGGACACAAGTGTTCTTAGGAGACACTGGTGGAGTCAGGTGATCAGCTCCAAGGTTAGTACTAATACAATTACTAAAGCAACAACACTACAATTTAATTTTAAATAACCAATAATACATTTTACTCAAGTACATGGTAAATCTAACTGACAGGTAGGCAGCCTTCTGTCAAACCAAGCTAAAAGCTGTTCAGAGAACTACTAAATAGCTGCTTTTGACATAAAGCTTATTTTGTATTACTAAAAGAACTAAACTTTGGGGTTTGCTCTCATCACACCCTCAGCAGTTCATTTCTGTTCAGTGACTCACTCTTGGTACCAGTGCTAGTATTCATGAAGCCACACAATAAATCTGACTGGGGACAAGCAATCCAAATCAAAATTAATATTCCTCTCCTTTTTCTCTCCCCCACAAAAAAAATGTCCCTCATGCTTTTAGGAGGGACAAATCTTAAAATGTAGCTGGTTTTGCAGTTATGTTTGTTCCTATGCAAGTTATCCTAGGTTTGCTCAATCTATCTAAAACACCCATCTGGAAGTTGAAGCTATGTCCAAACTTTCAAGACAAGGCTCCTCATGGAATCTACCCTAATCACAGAAGGAACACAATTCTGAAAAAAAAGTTTTGTTTCTCTGTACTAACTAGACACCTGAATTTTCAAAAAAGGATCACTTAATAATACCAATAAATTTGTTCATAAGACCTGAAAAATCCCACATTATTTAAAAACTCCTATTTATTACAATTTATTACATTTGCATTAACAAAGCAAAAAGGTAGGTATAATCCAGGTAACTGAGATCATATGTATAAAAATTTATTAGACAACACAACTTAAATTCTCCATCAGAAACTACATACCAGTTTTGTGAAATCCCTGACCTTGATTTTCATTTTTATGTTTCCAAGCAGAAATGTTGCAAGTTGCATTTTTTCCAAATATTGTAGTATGTGATTTTGCCTTTTGGAAACAGGATTGCGTCTCTGGAGATTTTGCTCTCAGCAACTGATTGTCCTTATGGCTTAAAACAGAACACTCCTAGATCAATAAGGAAAAGTTAATTTTAAAACCATTTTCACAGAAATTCTCCGTAAGAAATAAGATCCAAACCTACTATCTGCAAATTTCAAGTACAATAAGTACCTTAAGTACCACCTCTCCCCTTCTGAAATGAGAAAGAAATTAAATAATATGTTTTCTCTGCACAGATCTTTGAAACATGCTGTCAGCAAAAACCACCTCCTTTCAGAGCTCACATGCTCTGAATGAGCCAGACTCAATTCTTTCAGCCAGCAGTGTCTGTGCTTTTTAATTTCCATTCTCTGGAGGTTCTCTCTCTTGTGAGAGTTGAATGAAGTACTTAATGCCTTCATACTTTACTAAGCTGAAATGCAAAATTGGGCTTAGTCAGGATCTAGCAACTGAAAGACTAATAGTGGGAAAAGAAAGCTGCATAACATTGGTGAGTCCCTCTAGGTCAGGTTTGATACTATACAATTGTTTCTGGGAAGTACATTCACACATCTAATCCACGTCCAACAGGGTGACTGGGGCAAGACCTCAGAGTAGATGTATATTTTTAGATGTTAAACCTAAAATATCCATCTCCTTTTAATTTTGTAAGGGCACATTTATCCTAGTCTTAAATGAGCAGAGTTCAGAATTTGATGTCGATGGTCTGTAAGACACCACCAGTCTGTACTTCACCTTGGCAGAGAGTTGGCTATTAGCATGTCAGATACAGAAGTGAAGTCAGGGCTGAATGGACCTACTTGAGGATTTTTTTATAATTTGGTACTACGGCTCAGTATTGTCTCCCCTTCAAGGACTGTAAACAACACTAAGTCGCAGACTATGAACTACTAAGTTTGTAAGACCATAATACCATAATTACTAAGTGAGAGGAGATGATCTTTGCTCTCTTCTCCAAAGAAAACAGCCTTGCTTCCAATTCTCTGCAAGAAGTAGAACTCCTTCCGATCAGTCACAATATTATTGGTTTAGGAGTCTTGCTAGATATGTATTGTCTTTTGGCATTTTTTTTTCAGATAGGTAATCAAAGCACTTGTACTGTACCCAAGCAGGAAGTTCCCCACCAAGTCAGCATGCTAGGTATGGTCTAAGAAACTTACTAATGAGTTTATGAAAATCAGCAGCGGACGATTTTCCCCAAAAAATGTCCTTCTCCACAGGCACACATTTAAAAATTTAGCAATAAAAGAAAGCAGCAAGAACAATAGAAACAAAAATAAGAGACGGACTCCAATACATCTGAAGCCTCACAACTACCATTCACATATGTACCTCAGTTTCCTCTGAAAAAACCTGCCTTTGTCTTAAAACACATTAATTTTATCGCCACCTTAAAACAATTTTTCCTGCCTTTATTCTCCATTTTCGACATACTTGAAATGACACTACATTAACATCTTTAATATCACCTCACTGTCTCTCCCCTCAGGCTCCCTGGAACCAAACAAAATGGGGAATGGATGCTTTAGATGGGAAGCCTCTCACTTTTGTATTGCAATTTAACTCCTACCTTTGTTCTAAGCATCTGAGATTTATTCTGAAAAACTACAGTATTCACATCATTTTCTCTGCAGCTGTTTTCAGCCCCCGCAGTATCCATAATGCTGTTTCCATAAGTCTGTGTGTTGTAACCACTGTCCACCTGAAATCAAGAAGCAGGGCTTGAAAAATGTACTGTAACTGTAATACCAATAAATCCCTCGGATACTTGATATGATTTTCATTTGATTAACAGAACTTAATCCAACAAACCAACTACAATCAGTTAACAACAAAAGCAAATTGTAAGCAGATTTGTCAGAATAAGCTTGGATTAAGTTAAATGTACTGTTGTACAGAGCAGCACAAAAATAATTTGTAATTGCTATGCTAACTCCACTGAGAGCAAAGACGGGATGGGAGGGAAGCGATAAAAGTCATGATACCACCAGCATGCCACGACCAATACAAGAAAATAATAATTACTTCCAGAATAATATATGTATTCAAAGTTATTATGTCCAGTTCAGTTTTATAGAGAAGCAAAAAAAAAAATTTTATTTTTACCTGAATACTACTGTTGTCACAAGGAATTGCACTGCTTTCGGCAAGAGGTGACATGCACATCCGAGAGCTTTCAATACTGAAAGTAATGCCTGTCATAAAGCTGGTCATTGGTGTATTGCTATTGCCAATTGTTTCTTTTATCCAAGTGTTTTCCTCTGACACTTCAGCTGCATCAGCCATATCTACAGTATTATTTTCTTTTAAGCCTTCTATATCCTGAAATGATGACAACCTTTGATGACAAGCTTCTGAGTGATCTGGTGCAATAGACACAGTTGCTACCACAAGATGTGTACCATGTGCAAAAGTATCACTGTCTTCCTGACATAAGTTTATTCCATTATCCATTTCTGGGAACCGAGCTTCTGCTGGAGAAGCATTTTCCTTGTCTTCCTCATCCTCATCATGAGTCTCAACTGCAATTGGTATTCTAATGACAGAAGTCTGATACTGGGCAGTCCCTCTACAAGCTCCAAGCCTCATAGGAGAGCAATTTTTAATTGGAGAACAACCATCTATGTAAGGACTTCTTGTACTTGGCGGTGTCATTCTATTTGAGGAAGAAGGAATATCTGGAGAACGAAATGTAAATTTTCTTTGGTCTGTAAAAAAACCAACAAAGCTAAATTCCACATAATAGCTAATAGAAAAAATTCATCATCCTCAAGGGCCTACAGTGCACTGAATCATTTATAGCCAACTAAATAGCATTTCACTGACCCCGGTCTCCCAACCAAATCAAACAAACAACCCCAAACAAACCAGCAGCACATTTTAACTATCATGGTAAAGGTAAGTTTCTTTTCCATTTTTACCACCAAATTTGTTTTCTGTGACGTGGTTTACTGCACTGGAGACCTTCTATTTTCAAATGTCAATACTACACAGTATTCAAAGGAAAGTGTGTGAAGGCTGGTTCTGTGGGTTTTTCCCAAACAAGTATCAATACATATATTCTATAGGTATTTAATTTTTGGCAGCAATAAAGTTTAAGATGATCAAACAAGTGAGAAAACACATATGCAATCTCCACATATAATGGTGTTAAATACCACAAGGCTCATAACATCAAAATCACGCATAAACGTGGCATTAAAGCCTTTCCAGGTTATGGACACAGCATGAAATACTGACATTTTCTAGAGCAACAAAGACACAAAATGTTTGTGACTTCTTCACTCATCAGTTTCATTTCAAATAATCTTCATGATTGCATGATTTGAAAACTCAATCTAAACATTCTTTGTCCATTGACATTAAAATGCTTCAGGTTGAGCCAAATCAGAATTGTGACCTGACAGTTCAGACATGTGGCTTTAAACTCCCTCCCACACTAGATTAACCCTTCTAACTTTTTTCATTCCTCTAAGGTCTCAATGTCTGCTTCTAAAATATTTTCTCTAGTTGATTTTTTGTAAACATATACATTTCATTGTCTCACATATTTCACTGCTAAACAGTAAATGTGTCATAGAGGAGGATGTGTCATATGCTGGTCTGCCAAGCATAACTCCTAACAATAATGTCTCCTAACAGAAATAGGTTCCCCTAAGAATTCAGCAGTTTTTATAACAAAACATTTTTATAATAAAAAAATTTAAAAATAAAAAAAATTTATAATAAAAATTTTTATAATAAAAATATATGGCTCAAGAAAGAATAACATATACAATTAAACCATACCTGAGAGTGGTGTTTTTCTTATGTGAAAAGCAATTGGTGAAAAAGTAGGAGAACCACTACGTGCAGGAGACCCCTCTGAAAATGTGGGACTGGTTATACTTCCCAGACTGTAAGCTCTTGCTCCTCCCTGAATAGGACTTGAAGAAAACTGGCCCTTCAGAAAAAAAAAAAAAAAAAAAAATTCAAAACCACACAGCATATTTTCGTAACATTAACTTTGGCTAATATGTATATATAAAAAGTGTTCCAAAGTGTTCTAATTTAAAAGTTTAATATGCCAGCACTGAGAAAGACTAATCCTCTACAGTGACAATCTCTATCATTAGTTTAGCTTAAATATTTCAGTGCAGCTCTTTACCTGGACCTTATGCCTCCACATAGGAGAAGAGAGCAATGGACTCAAACTGTCACATAATACCAACCAGGCCTACTACATCCATTAGATTTAAGAACTCTGAGAAACTTAAACAGAGAATTAATGCTATCTGTGTATCTAGTCAAGTATCTGATCTAAATTTCTTGCTCATATCAATGCTGATGAAAGTCAGCCACTACTTATATTTTAATGTAATCCATATTTTCTGAATTACTTACTTCAGCAGCAGGTGAAACATGAAACTATTTCTCCTGAAGAAAAGAGCATTATACTGCAAGAACATGACTACTATTCTGTTATAGGAATTCTTTACTAGGTTACCATAGTAAACTTTTTTTTAAGCCACACTATTCCTAGGGTAGTTTTTTTCCATGCACTTCAGCCACCAAACAGATGAAACCATATCACCTAAACCAGTTCCGCTGTGCTATGTCCACCTGGGAATTAGGTTTACTTTGTTTCAATTAAAGAACAGTCATTATGTTCTGTGTTCTAATAAATGTCTATTCATCTGAAAACTCTGGTCAATGGAAAAGAAAAAAAGCACATTTAGCCCTGCATTCAAAGATTCACATTAATGTCTTCCACTATAAATGAGTTTATGAGCTATAAGGGAAATAATTATATCATAAGTTCATATCAACTGGTATTTTAGAGAGTAGTTCATGCATTTAAACAGGACTTTTTTTGTATACACATTTTATGAAGAATAGGTTTCAACATGCTTTCAGCAAGTCTTTTGCATGTTTTAATTTCTACTTCCATTTCATAACATTAGAAAATAATTTCTTCTATACAAAAGAATAACAGCACAACAAAATAATTTGATAAAATAAAAAGTCAGTAATATATTCTTTTAATACTTTTAGTTCGCACATTTTTTTCTGAATTTGGAAAAAAAAAAAACAAACCACCATCCTTAAGTCTAGCATCTACTCCTTCATAAAGCACATCCCATCCAGCCCACGAAACAGGCCACTTACTGAACTAGATGTGTCCAGAGGGCTTCTGCACCGGACTGGAGATAATTCTATTGAACAAAGCACTCCAAGTGGCTGACTACTGCATGGACTATGCAGAGAAGGGGACAAACATGCAGATACACTTCCATTTTCTTCTAAAAACAGCTTTCTTCTGAGTGATGAAGAGCTTAGGTTTTCCTGAGACTGATCTGCAAATTCTTCAGTTCTAAAATATTCACCTAGAAATTGTGGGAAAAAGTTGTTTCCAATAAGAACGCAGAAAAAAAAAATCTTACTACAGAGAGATATATAACTAAATTAAAGCATTTAATCCAACTGACCAATGCAGAAAATCATTAATCTAATTAGGCACCTATCCCAAAGGATTGCTTGTTACCACTACAAAAAGTCCACTCTGTCCACAAAGGTTCCACTTCTGCTTATCATCGCTTAATACTAGGGTCTGAATTAAAAAAAAAAAAGTATATATATAGGCTAGCATCTACTTACTGGTCTTTTCCCAGTTCCTCACATCTGAGTTGCAAAAGTGCAAAAGTGATTATTTTACTACCCAAGAAAAACTAAACTAACTGGATATTCCTTGTAGAAGAAATTTTTAATGAACTTAAAAATTATGTGTTGATGGAAGCATTTGTTAAGACAAAAAACAAAGGCAATAGATATGGTATTGCTTTTCTGTTTTAATTTTGATGACCCACAGTCAGGGTTGTGAAATTCAATACAGGGATAGCTGCACGCAGACAAAACCCTCTGAGCTGGTTGTACCCACTGTTCCCACATGAGCAGTAAGAACAGGCCTTTCCAGCCTGAGAAGCTTGAGAAGGTGGCAGCAATTGCTTGACGTAGCATTTATAATCAGAGAGTTAATTTGGACTGTGGCCTCTGTTGCATCCTCACTCAGCAGTCATGGCTTTTTTGCTACCACGTAACTTCTAGTCACCACCATGGTTTCAGTTAAATTAAAGGCAGGGTTACAGCACAGCTTTACTCAAGGTAAGGTCGGGCTATGAGTCTCACAACCAGTTATCTGTAAGTCAAACAGCTCTGCTGAGTTAAGTAACTGCTCTGTTTAGGGGAGGCAGGAGTTATCTTCTGCTTACTACCTTTTATGCATTTGTTAACTGTTAATCAATTTCATAGAATCATAGAATATCCTGAGTTGGAAAGGACCCACAAGGATCATCAAGTCCAACTCCTGGCCCTGCACAGGACCATCCCCAAGAGTCACACCATGTCCCTGAAAGTATCATCCAAACACTTCTTGAACTCTGGCAGCCTTGGTGCTGTGACCACTTCCCTAGGGAGCCTGTTCCAGTGCCCAACCATCCTCTGGGTAAAGAACCTTTTTCTAATATCCAACCTAAACCTCCCCTGACAAAACTTAGGTCATTCCCTCAGGTCCTGTCACTGGTCATCGCAGGGAAGAGATCAGTGCCTGCCCCTCTGCTTCCCTTTATGACGAAGCTATATACTGCAATGAGGTCTCCCCTCAGTATCCTCCAGGCTGAACAATTTCCAGTTGTCCTCCATATCCCTCCTTTTCTGTCTTTACGTCCACACTCAAATCATATCATTTAAGTCACGTCCTGTGCAACACACACTGTCCATTTAGAACACATACTTAAAACTCGTTCATTCATTTGGTTCTCAGTATTTCATAAGACAAAAACACCCAGCAAACATTTAGACATTCATAAATACAGATATTGCATGACATACCTAGTATTTTCTCTAAATTAATATCCACTGGCAAAGACAGTACTGTCTGACAAGCAGCTGCAACGAATAAAACCAACAAAATTAGCTTAGTGACCTTTTACTAAAACTGTAGGCAAACATTCACTTTCAAATCGCACCACAATTGAGCTATTTAAATTACAGCTGCAATAAGGAAAAGTGTTAATTAAAGCTGTGATTCTGATTTGACAACACTATACGCAGCACATTAGGCCTAGAGATAAAAAACCCAGGAGTTGTAAGAATGCCTCTCTAGAGGCTTTTATGTTAACTGAGGAAAGAGGTCTCTGAAGAAAGGAAGGATTCAAAAGGAAATGAGAGAAAAATCATCAAATTACCCTGGGGAAAAACACTACCTATTTATCTAAAATGATACAGTTTAAAAGATGTATTAAGATTTCTGCTATTTATTTGGCATAGAAAATAATCAAGATTCTCTAATCCTTAACAATCCAACACATTAAAGGTTTCTTGAAACTGTAATTTACCCATAAACCTGAGGTTTACATTCACCTCTTAATTCAGAAAAAGCGCATACATTGAGTTGGAAAAAATGCACCCCACAGTCTTACAGGGGACTTCATTTTTTACTTCAGAAAAAATACCAGAGAGTATAACAGAATTAAATTACTATGAGAAATGGACATTAAAATTAATAATACCATTCAGTTCAAGAAAAACTATTTCTACAGGAATATTAACAAACAAATAATTCCCCTTTTAAATTAAACAGCCATTTAAAATGGGTTATTTTGCTTCAGAGAAAGCCTGTAATTTCAGACATTGCCTTTTACTCACCATTGCTCTTTCCAGGCTGCAAGCTTAGCTGTCTTCCAATCGGAGAAATGTTATTTAGATCAATGGCTGTAAAACACAGAAGAACTTAAATTTAAGCATGCATTGCATATAGAGTTAGAATATTTAATACAACTAAACAAAACTTTTGCATCAAAGTTTGGAAGAGATTAAAAAGGAGTACTGAAAAAAGGTTACCATTATAGCTGATTAAGAGAATTTCAGCACCTTTCTATTCAAACAAAGCATAGTGAAACACCATCAGCGTTGCTCAGACCTTTGTCTCCTGCAGCCTTCTCTACATTAGAGAGATTTAAAACAAACTAGTTTACACTTAGCTAAACAGGCTGTGTTCAAGTAGAACACATTTCTATAAAATCACTCAGTCTGGACTTGAGGTGAAGAAATATTTTAGCTTTTTTATACAGCTAAAGAACACATTAGACCATCTTCCTTTACCGTTCACTTTTCCAGATCTCAGATTGTGGCTCATGTTATCTGCTCAAAAAATGATGATCTTACAACTCACAATTAAAAATACACTATCCACAAGCTGCATCTCCTTGATAAAAAAACATTTAAGTTTAGCCTTTTCCAAATCTTGAAAAATCACCACTTATTTAAGAATTTCCTACGCAACAATAGTTTATATTTGACATTTGTCCAGCTTGTAGTCCATTTACTATGTATTCTGCTGGTTATACATAAACTTCAGTAACAATAGCATTAAGAATAAAATCTCACATGGGCATAACCATAATGAACTTAGGAAACCCAGGAGCAGTGACTACGAGTTAGCACGACGCTAAGACGACAACAGGTCTTAGCAACAACGGCAAGGGTAAAAAAAATATGGAACTCCATTTCCCATAGGCTTATATGGTGAGGAAAGCAGTCAGAATAAGGAGGACATGCAAATAAAAATAAATAGCAAAGTAGAACACTTGGCTATTACCAGTATCAACACTGCAATTCTGTAAGCAAATTAAATTAGTTTTAAAAAATTATTAATTTATTAATTTATTTATTTATTAATTTATTAAAGTAAAAAGATTTAAGAACAAGAACCAAAAATAATAAAAAGGAAAAACTATACAAGACTTGATTAATAAATAATTCTTAAAGAGAGCACTTGGAGAGAACAGCTGAAAATCTATCAGTTGTGCCATATTTTATCACCAGTTCTTAAAATTTAAATTAAGATTGAAACAAATTATGCTTGATAATTTCTCCAAAAGCGAAACTATTTTGGACAGACACACAAAAGCAACTTACATTTAGTTGAATTAAACTGAGAAACTTGTTTGCCTTCATGTTCAGTCCAAGGAGAAGGAACTATGAGCCTTTTTGTGAAAAACTAGAGCAGAATAAAAATAAGCATCTCAGCACTTTTAAAAAAAGTTGGTGATTCTCAACTTAAATTTAGATCAGTACCCTGAACAAGAAAAACTGCAGAACTTATTTCATTATTTCAGGCTCAGAGAGATTAAAGAAAAAATAAGTTGAAGACCCCATATTCTTTACGACACACAGCACCGCAGATCTTTTCAGAGTGAAAACTGAAGAAAAGTTTCATTTAACAATAATTACTCATTTAAAAATTTGAACTGTCACTGCCTCACTTATTGCACAGTAGTTTAAAATAATTCTTTACAAATTTTCAGTTTGTCAAGTTGTATTTTGACAATTGAGCTATTTCACAGAAGTGATAAAGAGACACTGCAGCAAAAGTGATAAACCAAGGCTTTTTGGCAACATTATTAATGTATTTGGCTAAACTGGTTAGCAGTGAAACATTTATGAGTTACTGGCATTTCAGTCTTTTTCTTTGAACCAGAAATTGTATCTATCATCACAGCTGCACTGTGGAACGCCCTGATGCTGAGGAGATGAACACTATTACATAGCTTCAAGAAACACATGGCAAATCTTGTTTTCACAATAAATGCAAGACTCAAAGTAAAAGAAAAAAACTCAGCTTGAAACACAACTATTAAAGATGTAATTTTTATCAGAGACATGGTTTCAAGCTGTTCAGCTGCAGAATCCATTAGGTTATACCTCACAAAGAAGAAATACCCTGTTTAATGCAGATTTAGAACAACAGAACATCTTAGCTGCAGGTCAACTACACAGCATCTTGATGGAATCCTAAAATATATATTTTGTTTGTAGAGACAGAAACTGACAGACTTGCTTACCAGAGCCTTATTTTACCTTTCTTAAATTGAAATTATATTTAAGAGTTCTATAGCGAAGATTTGAAACACTTGTCTTTCTCTGCTGTACAAACGGATAGTAAAAAATAAAACGAAAAATGGATGGAAATATATACAAGCTACCACAATAAAGTCGTACATCCAACTAAGCAGACTTTGGAAGGAACAAAAGAAATCACAAGATTCTGCAATATTTTTAAAAATGCAATAAACTACTAATGGCTACTGTAAACCCCCAAATGCTCAATCATTATTTGTAACCTGAAGTTAACTATTTATAAGTTAGTTTACAGCTACACTCGCCAAGCTACATGAAAGAAAAAAAATCTGTTGTTTTGTCCTACAGGTGTGTGAAAAAAGATGGGAAGAAAAAGAACATGTGGATTCCAACTACAATGGATGAGGATGCAAAATCACTTTATTACTGAAATATAACAGGCTTTTGGGTTTTGAAATCCTATAATACATGTGGACCTTTTTTTTTGGACAAAAAACAAAACAATATTTGATAGCACAAAGTTTTATTACCTCCTCAATAGCTTTTTGCCTTCTGTCTTCTGTCTCCTTATCAATTCTAAGTAACAAATGAAAGACAACTCAATTATCAAAACCATCACATAAGTAAGAAAAAATGTAAAGTCCAACCATATAATAATTTATAGATGCTCAAGAGGAACTTTATAAATGAAATTGCACTAAACCCTAAATCGTAAGATTGTTTTTACTGTTATGCACAATCATTTTATCCTATAAATTTAGAAATATAAATGCAATTTTCAGTTCAGTTCATTTGAAAAAGATCTGTACCATTTATAAGTACACATTTGCAAATCATCTATTTACTCCTTGTATCAGCAAGTCTAGACAAAAACTCAGTCACTTCTGATCTTCCAAAATTATGTCATATGAATAGATTTTACTATTGGTTACAGTGAGATTAGTCTTACACTATAAAACCAGGCAGAATAAAAAACTGGGCTACAAGGAATTGAAGGGCAACTGAAGACACTCCTGGAATTTGCAAACTCAAATTCCTGACACAGCCCATTTTCCCAGCAGAGTTCTCTCTGCCAAATAGATAGTCTGCCTTATTTACTTCAGTTTAGAATATAACGTCATATTTCAGTTTCTAACAATGAACACATTCTCTTATGCAGCTTTTAACCTATCTTTTAAAAAAATATTGTAGTTACTTCAGCCATGATGTGTGAGATTCTATATTTATATTTCCTCTAATGGTCACCTCCTAGTCTCACTCAAGTTACTACTATGGAATTTATGGTAAAATTTTTTGAAGCTTACAAATGTCCATCATTGTCTTAGCTGAATTGCATAATGGTTTCATATACAGATAGTATACTTGAATTAACCTTGAATAATTTTAGAAATCAGTCAGACAACACAACATTATTAGCTATGCAAACACACACAAATGTGCCTAATACATAAATTCTCTTTCACAGTTCGTTCTTTCATGCTTATCACACTTTGAATGTATCTACAATGCTTGGGCACACCATGTTCAAGTATGTCTGCCTAGATGATGCTAAAGTGACAGTTCTATGAAGATACTTGCACAAAATTCAGTTACTGTACCAAAAAAGAATAAGCATACAATCACTGTATATTTATGCATAGTGGATGAGAAGTAATAAGCAAACAGAGGAACTGGAAAAACAGCTCCCACTGAAAGTGCTGGTTAGTGCAAAAGAGGACCTTTTTTCTTCAGTGCATAACTCCAGGAAAATAACGAAGTGAAAATGTCATATGTATTTAACAAGAATAAAACCAAGCCAGTCTTGTATGCAAATTCAAGCAACACAGCACTTGCAACTGTGACACAAAGCACGCACGATGCAGAAAGACATCTTTTAATAATTAACGAATAATAGCATAGCACCCAATTTAGAAACACTCAACTTCTATCAGTAGAAATAAAAAAGGAAGGGGAAAGTTTGTGGACAAGATTGTGTCAATGTGTCTGCTCAGCTATTGACAGACTATTTTTCACCAACAAGTTTGCCAGAAAAGTATTCTCCTAAACATCTTATAAGCAGTTTAATAAACTGGAAACAGTAACACTACACAAAATCAAGTCTATATGTGATACACAGTCAGACTTTTGTAAGGTTTTACACTGTGCTGCTCCTAAGACTGTTTTACTACATTATAGAGATTTCACAGTTTGAAATAGTTATACATGGAATTACCTATGCTTGTGGTTGTTTGCAATTAATTCAGAAAATTACTTGATAACAAGCATTATAAATTAATTACTCTTTTAACAAGAGTATATAGTGCATGTAACATTATGCATGGGCTTCAAAAACTCAATTCTTTTATCATGAACTTTTAACATCAAGAGCTGTATTTATGACACTTTTGTTTCCATAAAACTGTATTTATGAAATCTAAATTAAGTTTCCATGCAAAATCCTACACACACACACACACTCATATACAGATATGTATTTAACCATGTACAGCTTGCAGCCATCAGAAATAACAACCTCCATTTGTACTACACTGAAACATGCAAGCATGGACACAGCAAATCTACACATAGTCAAACCAGCCTCTTTTTAGTCACAGGAAATGACTTAAAAAAAAAAAGTCACAGTGGGTATGAAACAGCGGGACAGACTAAAAGGACCCACTGAGACAACACATCTGTAGGCCATGTCACCTAAACCATTCAGATTAAAGCCCGTTTCTGTGTGTCCAAATAGGCTTCCAGAAACAGTGTAATTGACTCCCTAAAAAACATAGGGCTTAAGGCTTTATAACATATAAAAAGCATTAGAGTCTGAAACCTACTGGCTGCTAGAGGAAGGCCAGGAAAGGCCAGGCTATTAAGAACAAAAATATTGACATTAGGACATGGCGATTCACAGATGTAGCTGAGGACAGTTATATTCCTTCTACAGCTCTTCTTATTCAAAAAGAGAGCTGTAGGTTCAATCAGACACTAAGAACAGTAAGTCTATTTCACAGTATTTTTTAGGAGGAGGGTGTTGAAACACTGGAACAGGTTGCTTGGAGAGAAGTTAGACGCCCCTTAGATCTGAGCGACCTGATTTAGACAGGACGGAAGATTGGTTTATTATCCTATTACTATGATGCTTCATGCCACGAGGTGCAATTCTTTGTGGAAGTTTTATCTGAAAAAGATACAGGAGTGTCTACAGGGTTCACCACTATGGCCTCCCTTGACTACCTTCACTTGACATGTTGTTCTGTACTACTGGCATGTAAAATTATCCTCAAGCTCCAAATACCAAGCCTATTTTACCTACTCATTTTCCCCACAAAAGTTATTATCAGAGGAAGGGAAAAGTTGAGATAATGTTCCCAGACTACTTCAAGTAACTAGCATTGGTCCCCCCTCCTTCATGTTAAGTCTAATCTATACCTTTGAAACGGAGTGTTGGCTTCCCTAGGTAGCTTTCCCAGCCCTACCCTTCTGCAGGAGGAATACTCAGAGAAGATAAACTGTGTTGTAACAAGGAACAGAAGAGGTAGCCTGGTAACAATCACCGGCAAGACATTTCCTTGCTTCCATTGACTCCTTTTATCTGACTGTCTTCCAAACTGTAATCAGAGTGGATCAGCGGTTCTTAACATCGAAAAGAAGGAACAGCAAGGAAGCCTCATTTAAATATTATATCCACATCACAGACATGTAAAAATTTATGTTAAAAGATTTCAATAAAAAGTCTTTAATGCTATGCTGAAATGTTAATAAAGCAAAAGAACAGTGTTCTAGTATTACTGCTAAGTTAACTGCATAAAAACAGATTGCAAAGTTACCTAGCATGGCTCAAATACATTGCCTGGCGTCGAACATCTTCTGAGTCAATTTCCACAGGATTTATTAGAGCAAGCTGATCAATAGACCATCTAAATTTTCCTGGTGTCTGAAAAAAAAAGAAACAGGCTTACTATTCTAAAACGATAAAAACAGAACTACAGGACTAATCTCAATGGAACAATGCAATCACTGCTCCCACATAGTTTTGGACAATCAAAAGAGTTTCTATTTAAATTATCTACTTTTAAAAGAAAATTAAGGCAGTCAAGCTTCTTACCCTGGTAGTGGTATTACAGTGATTTACAAGATAATATTAAATGGAAAGTTATAGCTAACATTTACAAACTGAGGTGTCAGTTTCTTCTCAATATCTGAGGACAGATCTACTAAAGATACATAACTTGGGATAAAATTTAGTCATTTCTAGATTGCCACAATCCAAATTGTAGTTCCATGAACACCCAGTGTCTGTACCTAAACCATGTTATCCAATAAAAGAGAAGTCTTCCTTTCACCTCCCATGTCAAAGACTGAAGAGTTGCAACCTCATATGCATCTTGCAAAGTCCCTCTCATAATGCCATGCGTAGTGCACAACAAAACCCAAGTCAGAAATAAAGCAGCTTCACTCCTTTATTTAACAATTAGCAAGAACTGTTCAAATACATTTGAAAAATTATCTACCAAGTCTTTTTAGTTTCATTAGCACGGTATCTTCTCTACTGCTTACCAGCAAATAATTTCAACTGAAAACCAAAATGTAATTTGCAACAACAAGTTATATATACACAAAATCAATAATTTGAATGCATAAACAGCTCATAGCAGAAATGCAACTAAGTTTTATTATTTAGGAACTGGGGCTTTTTTAGCACTCAATCACTTAATATCCAGGGACTAAATTAGATAAATTTAGAAAGGTAGGAAGACTAAGCAACAATGTTAGTATTAAAAGCAGCATATTTCTGTAAAGAGAAGAAACTCCAAACACTACCAGAATTCTTTGGCTTAGTATATACATTAAAGTACACTAAAAAAATATCCTTTTAAATGCATTTGAAAATATTAATGTTCCACATATATACTTAAACAACTAAAGACTAGATCTTACTGATGAGGATTTTGTCGACTTAAAGACCGAAGGACTGGAGACAATCTGCTCCTGAAGAGTGTAATAATCACTGGGACTTTCAAATGGATTCAGGATTGCAACTCGTCCTGGAGTTTCTGGTGCTATCTGCATTTTACCTTCTCCTGTATCACCCATAACACTAAGCTACACCTGAAAAAAAGAGAGGGAAATGAAAAATTAAGGGAAATAATGAAATCATAATTTTGACATTTTAGGGTCATGTTGAAGGCTTTAGGAAGAGACGATCAATTGTTTTAAGGTGCCAGAAGCATTTAAAGGACTAAAAAACCCGAAGTTAGCTTTGGCTTGGACCTACTGGCATAAAGCCGATAAATCAGGCTGCTATAAACAATTAAAAATAAACAGAACCTAAAAAATCAAGACAAGAAAGGGCATGAAAAAGGGAATTAAAAAAAAGACCAAACAAACAAATACCAAAATAACAAGCAACCAAAAAACCACCCACGAACAACCACTAGAAGAAACAGAACGGTCAGGAAGCCAAACACGTTCCTGGAGGACCAAGTGCGGGCACTCAGGGGCTTTGGGAATAAGGAGGGGTTCTCTCTCTCTCTCTCCCCGCCCGCCCCGCTGAGCCCACACGCCAAGCAGCGACCACAGGGGTGGGACGGGTTGGCGAGCGGGGTTGCGGGCGGCGAGCCCGCCCTCCTCCCTCCACACCGGAGCAGTCCAGCAGCCCCTGCCCGCGGGAGGACCTCGGGCGGCGGGAAGGGGGACGCGCGGTGCCGCCCGCGGGCCGGGGCAGCAATAACGCCCCGAGCAGGTCCCGCTTGGCCCAGGCGCTAAAACCGACCACCCTCCCTCGCCCCAACTGGCCTGGCCTGGCCTGCCCCGGCCCTCGAGGGCTTCGGGGGACGGCACCGCTCCCTCCCGCTGCAGGGCACCTCCCGCGCCCCCGGGGCGGCGAACAGGACGGGAGCCCAGCGTGAGGGGTCCCCGCTCAGCCCCTTCTCACTCTTCTCCCCGGGATGGTGCCACCGCGCCGAGCCGCTCTCCCAGTCCCCGGGCGCCGAGGGAGCGATGCCGCGGGTGCCGAGGTCGGGGGCACAGACACCTGCCACCGTTACCGGGCCGCTGCCGCCGCGCCGCTCGCTCATCAGGCACCACTCGCCGCTCCCGCCCCCGCCGCGCCGGGCGGCCCTTTAAACAGCCCCGCCCCGTCCGGCCGTTCTGACCAATCACGGCGCGCGGCCTCCGCCGCCGGGCCAATGGCAGAGCTCCTTCTCTCTCGAACGGGCCAATGGTCAGGGGTGCCGCTGCACGAATTCGAAAGAAAGGCCGCCCTCCCGGCCGTGCCGCTGCCGTGCCGCTGCCGTGGGGTCTCACGTGGGGCCCGAGCTGGGGCGCATTCCGGTTCCGGGGGAGGGGATGTGAGGGCGGTGCGGGGTCGCCATGGCGAGCAACGCCGCCAACCTGAACGCGGTCCGGGAGACCATGGACGGTACGTGACAGAAGGTGGGGAGGGGGACGCGCATGAGGCGGCGGCCAAGAAACAACGCTAAGAAGCAGCTCCAGAGCTTCGATTCCGCCTAGTCAGGATGGAGGAGAAAGCGAACGCCTCGGGCGCCTCTCCTGGGAAGAGGGGTGCGGGTTGCGGCTGCTGGAAGATGCAGCGCGTAGCAATGTCTTTTTTGCTTCGTGTTATTCATAGTGTGTGAAACGCTTTAAACACCCGCGTAGTGCGAGTGAATTTAGACGTCGAGTGGCTTTTCTTGGGGATCTTTAGATAGCTAAGTACTTAATAGAGAATACTGTTGGGTTTTAGTGTTTATAAATATACGTATGTATTTACTCTACTTTCTCGTTATTTGTACCGGATAACGCAGATTATGCTACCTGGCTCTGTGCGTCTTGGATTTAAGCCGGGGGAAACAAAGTGTGTGGAAAAGAAAGGCAGGACAACCCTGCCAGTACCTGAACTGATCTGAACCCTCCTTCTCCTAGATGGCTCAAGTCAGAAAACAGAAGTAAACTAAATAAAAAAAAAAAACAAACAAAACCAAACAATGTAGTGAAAAAGCTTTGAGAACAGTAGTCAGTGTTACAGAATTAGAATAGTTTCTGATGCAAAAAAAACCCCCAAGCCCAAAACTGTTATGGGATGAGGAACGTGGGAGTAGTGGCACTGGGAGTGCTGGGAAATATTTTGGAGATTTATAAACCAAGAAACGTGAGCAGGTGAGTAAAGGTCAGGTGTTCACTTACTCTTCTGGCCTCACTATGAGGAATCAAAGCTGGTACATCCTGGAGTTGTTTCTTAGTGTAGTGTGAAACTCTGGAATTCTATGAAATGCCTATGCCAAAGCCTTATATGCAGAGTGGAAAGCTGCTGTAAGAAATCCCCTGAGGGTTCTTAAATGTAAAGACTGTCTCTGGAAATGCCCTAGAGGGCATAGAGGCTAAGGAGAACATCTGGGGGGGTGTTGCTTTACATTTGTTATTTTCTCAGGATCTTCCCTTCTCTTGAAGTTACATAAGGGTTTCTTAGCAAAGACTTTCACCAGTCGAGCTGGTATAAAAATTAGCATTTCAGCCACTGATCTTCACTCTCTGACTGCTGCTGGAGGCAAGGCAGGACTAGCAGAATTATGGCTCCTCTGATGCTGCAAGAGGTTAAGACTAACTCGTGCAGATGAAGAGAGATTCGTTTGGGAAGGACAGAGAGTTTAAGTTCTTGACAACCATTCTCTCCATTTATGCAGGAATGTTTTGGGCAGGAGGGATGACATGTGGATTTAAAGACAAAGAAAGGCTTTTGAGAACAGATATGGAAAGTGCACTGATCTTCAGATTTAGGAGCCCAGGCTCCTCATGTAAAAATGTATATCTTTTATCTAGGATAGACATAGATAGTTGTTCTCTGCAGAGCTAAGAGCTCAGAATTGTGGAGAAACTGCTACATCTCTCTGCCAAAGACACTGCCCCAACTAGTGACCACAGTTCTTGCTGACGTAGAAATTGGAACTTATCTTCAGTTATATTTACTGCTCTGCCTTCAAATATGTCACATGCTTAGTAAAATTTTTGATAGATTTTAAATGGTTAAAAAAAGGAAGAATTGTTTCTTTCTGGGAAGTTTTCAGTCCTTCTTAGTTCTGTAGCTCTTGAACATTCAATGTCATTTTATTGCAACTGCATCAGTTTGTTAGTTGAAGATGCTTTTGTATGGACAGGGCATGCATGTATAATGTGTTTGGAATGGTTTGCTTTCAAGCCAGCATGAAAAAGAATGTCTTAAGGTGGAGAAGGATAAAAGCTCTCCTCCTCCTGGCTTGTAGATAGGACTTTAGACTGACAGACTGCTTTCATGTCTTAAACTTGTTCATATTCTTAATCCAACCTACTTGTGTGGGCTTCAAGAATATTTTCACATGTAGAGATTTTTTTCCCTGTGGCTTCAATGGAACTGACTGGATACATTAGGTTGTTAATGTCTTGGGTAAGTGTGACTCTGAGGGTGTGCTGCAGGATGTCACTGTAATATTTTCATAGTTGTCAAGTGGACAGTAGTCACTTGCCATGATGCTTTTACATGGTGAGAAAGACCTTGTACTTCACTTTTCCCTAGCTTGGGGGAGGTTTGGTTACATAAACTGTGTGAGTAACACCTGTACAAAATTAATCTATATTGGAGCTTAGCTTCAGGATGGAGGTTACTGTAGAAACCAGAAATAAAATCTCAGTGAGTTGTTCTGTTGCATCTGGGACAAACTGTTTATGAGAATCAAAGAAAAAGGGCCTTCCAGAGAAACTTAGGAAGGAGCGAGAGAGATACCTATTTTTTAACAAAACTGACTGGAATCTCCTTCTCCAGAAGGTCTCATACTGACATGTGGCGCTGCTCGTGATTCAGGACACATAAAAATTGAATAATATTGCTTATCATTAAACTTGTGTTAATGTTAGATCTAAAGCCAGGTTTAGTTGTGGAAGAAGGTGGCTAGAAAACTGCTGATGTTCTCTATAAAAGCTTTAACAATGTGCCTCCCAGGCCATTTCAGCAGGGCATCATCAGTATCTGGAGTTCTAAAGTACAGTATTTTTATAGCCTACCTTTTACATAATTGGGGAGCATGTTAATTGTTGAATTCTTCACTTATTTTTTTTTTACCTTTTCAAAACCCATTATCCAGTAATAAGTTTCCTGAACCTGAAAAGCATGGTGTTTATGTTGGAAGCTGTAGCTTTTAGCTTGTGCTGGAAAGCTGAACATGAATGCTGTTGTTGAAGTTCAGACTGCAGTGGACAGCTGCCATGTTCACACTCTACTGTAGAAGTTAAATGTTGATGAATAAGGATTTTGATAATTGAAATTTCATAGTCTGTAGGGACAAAAGTGCTTTCATTTTTTCTGTTGCAGTTCTGTTTGAGATTTCAAGAATATTAAACACTGGCTTGGATATGGAGACATTGTCTATTTGTGTGCGGCTTTGTGAACAAGGGATAAATCCAGAAGCATTGTCATCTGTTATTAAAGAACTACGCAAGGCTACAGAAGCTCTAAAGGTAATGCTTTTGTTTAAAAAGCCTATAAATTTGTTTTTAAGAGTTGGATGTATGTGCAACTTGCTGTACTTCAATTTGTAAATTGTACTTTAGGATATGATTCATGTTTAAATCAAGGAAATTAACTGTTCCATGGAAAAGGCAATGAATACAACTGAATTAAACATGATGCTAGAAATGGTACAAATAAAATAGTTAGATTAACTCTTTTGAAGGGGAAAATATAAAAAACGAAAACCACAACCAAAACCCACAGTTTTTTTATTCTGAGCATTTGTAGTCACTATTTGCCCCCTTATCTGCATCATATCACAAATAGATTACTACTTTCTCCTTTAACCAATATGATCTCATTTCTATAACCTCAGACTTAACAGTATGCGGCAGTACTTGTAAATGGGTACGTGCAGCTTGGTAGTGTAATCTTCACATATTTCTTTCACCACATTAACCTGTGCTTTGAACCTTTCCAAAGACCAGCAAGAGGGGATTTCATGATGTGTGTTTATATAGGGCTTTTCATATATTAGCATTTACCTCCTGTTTAACTAGTAGAGGGTAACAATGGTTTAAAAACAAATCCTCACTTGACTTTTAAAGGATTTTCATTCTTTATGGTCCACCTGAACATCACAATCACGATTGTTTTCTAGTGGATCTTCTACTTGTTTATTTCTGGGAGGTGGAGGGGAAACCCGTTTCTTGCTTCTATTCTAGAAGGATGCGTACTTTATTTTTAACTTAACATTTTTCTATACTCATGCTCATGCATATTTTATATTTGTACTTAAAGGCATACATACATATGAATTTAACTATGCATATGTCAGTCATTGAGGGCTGTTTTACTTTTTCATTTGCTTTAACTGATGTATCATTCCTTTTGCTGTCTTTTGACTGTTTGTCCCATAACTGGCTAAAATCTTCCAATGTCAGTCTTCAACAAAATGTGCCTTGTTTGTTGGGTTGAGTTATTCAGTAATAAAAAATACTAATATTCTTAATGAAATAATTGGCAGTGTGATTTATACGGTTATAGTTAGTGTAATTCTTCTAAGTTTTGTGTCAATAGCTTATCTGTATGAGTGGGAATAATAATTACCACAAATTATATCAAGTAGTAAACTCCAGAGGTAAACATATGCATTTGAGCACTCCTTGAAAGCATTAGGGTAAAATGTACAGGATACAAGTTGCTCAGATGCAGGGCATAAAATTTAACACAAGCAAACAGGAATGGCTATTTTAGAAAAGGATAATGGCAGTCGACAGCATTATTTTTTTTAAAAAAGTGTTCATTAGAGAAATGTTCATAAGTAGTTCTTAATTTTTAGGTTTGGGGTTTTTTGGGGGTTTTTTTTAGGTCTAGGAAAATTAAAACAGTTACAAGAAAAGATTAAATTTAATCTATATGATGTCTCTTTTGGTGACTTGCAATAAATGTTTTTTCTGCTTCTAGGCTGCTGAAAATATGACAGGCTAATATGGACAAAGATTTCTGCATGAGAAGAATGCCAAGATAAACTTAACAGGAGCTCTGAAGATTGCCACTATTCAGACAAAAATGAAATAAGTGTGTATGCAAAGGTTTCAGAATATTTCTGTAATATTATTCAAAAGAA